TTTATTTTATTTTGTATATAAATAAAATTTATATGTATATACACATATACATATATGAAATTCTCAAAGAATAAATAAAATTAAATTAAGCATTAAAAATAATGGTGTATCAATGAATGTGTAATTAAAGATGAAGGACAGATTTATTTTGGTGGAAGAAATTTCAAAAGAGAGTGTTCAGACTGTTACATGGCTACTATTTACTGTACTTACCCAAGGCTATAGTTTTAAAAAGCAAAACTATGGACAGAAAGACATAGAAAGGGTGTGGTTTGTCAAGGAGGAAAGAAGCCATGCAACTTAGACTGCGTCGTAGGCATGAGCTGAGAAAGAGTCTGTAATTGTTAAAGAGAAATATTCTGCTCTGCATTGGAAGACCCCACACATGATAGGCTTTAGCTTGTGAAAACACAAACTTATTTACAAGGACAGCTTGAACTGAGGATTAGATGATTGCGTTCTATGCGTCCTGAAAGCAACTCCGTAAGAAAGTGTCTCCCCAGAGTGAGTACACGGCAGAAACAGCGATGGTTCCCAGAGTGTCAGGTCCCATCCTGAGCTGTCAATGGAACCTCGCAGCATCATCTACATGGTAGTGGTTTTTAAGGAGTGAAGAATGAAAGATAGAAGAGTTCACGGTCTTTCTACAGTTTCAGAGAACAGCAGTGGCCAGGCAATGTGCGGTAGGGTTGGAGTACCTGAAAGGAGCCCCCAAGAGCCCATTGCATGGTTCTGTGAAGGTAAAGCCCAAGTTGAAATGGAGGTATCAAAATGTGGCAGATTTTAAAATGATTATATATATAATCATTTTATATATATTCTATAGAGTCTAATCATGTGTCCCCAAATGTCCTTTGGTATGGGTCATCCCCTGGAGTCTGGCTAACCTACCAAGAGTCTCATGCTTGTAAAAGACTGTCTCTTCCCATCCCAGCAGCCACTAGTTGCCACAGTTTTCTTAGGTTGAGTAAGGGTTTCTTACTTCATGTCTGTGCTGGGATTTTGTCTGGTTTGAGCTTGCGTGGGGTGTGTGAATGCTGTTGCCATCACTATAATTCATATGAGTAACTGAGCAGCTGTCTGGAGAACTCTTTCCTGTGGTCATGCACCACCTCTGGCTCTTACAGTCGTTGCCCCCTACCCCCACAACGATTCCTGAGCCTTGGGAGGCATACATTTGATATAGGTGTCCTATTCAGGGATAAATACTCTGTAGCCTCCTAGTCTCTGCATATTTACCAGTTGTGGGTTTCTGTGTTAATCACTGTCTGGTGTATAATGAAACTTCTCTGGTAAGAGTTGAGGGATGCATTAATCTAAGGATATAGCAATAAGTCACTAGAAGTCAGTTTAATATGAGAACTATTTAGTAGAAAAGTAGTATTAGGTTTTCCAGTGTGTCCTGTGACTTGTTCGGTATCAGGTTCCTATGTCTGATATTTATGCCAGGTTTGGCCTCCATCCTATGAAGCAGATCTTAAATCCAATTAAAGAGTGGTTGGGACTCTATGGGAATGTTTTAAGTTGAATTGAATGTATTACTGGATTATTATATGCCAATGAGGCTATGTTGACAAAGGGTGGAAGGTTATGTCTTAAAGATGATGTGTTTGGGGGTCTAGTTGAGAAGAGGTAGAGCTCTGATGGTTCATTGTGATTCTCAATTTGACAGGATCAAGAATTACCTAAGAGGCAAGCATGCAGGTGTACCCATGAGGGCTTAGTTTAATTTATCTTCTGGGGAATGCCTGTCAGAGATTTTGCTGGTTAGGTTAAATGAATGGAGGAGGGTCCACCCTAAAGGACGGTGCATCAGTCCTGGCATTTGGTCTTAGAGTACATGAAATGGAAGAAGCTGATCATGGGCATTCATTAGCCCCAGCTTTATGATCATGATGCATCATGAATGTTGAATAGTCTTGACATTTCCTCTCCTGAATAAAGTTGTCCGTTATTTTTTATTTAACCTCACTCAAATTTTCAGAAAAATGAAGAGAATCTTTCCTAATTTTAATTTTTTTCCAGAATGGAATATGAATGGCCTTTATTACAATTCTCAATAAAATGTCTGTTCTCATCTGATATTTCATAACCCAGACCTTCACTGATCAAATTTTTTACCAGCACTCTGGTCTTCTGAACTCCAATAGAGTCATCCATTAAGCTCTGCTTGTAGCATTCTAGGGCTTCTCTATCCTGCATCTATAACCTCTTCCAGATTCCTCCAGGAAAGCTCTTCAAAAGGCCCAAGAACAACATGGTCAGGTTCATCAAAGCCACAGCTCCACTTATAAGAGACTTCTGTATTGCTGTGATCAAAATTCATGACAGAAATAACTCAAGGGAGAAAATTTTTTTTTGGTTCATATATTCAGGGAATTTTTGTCTGTCATTGTGGGTAGGCATGGCATTGCTCAGTGAGGCAAGAGTTTGTGGCAAAGGCTTCTCACCATGATAAACCAGGAGTCATGGCTGGAACTAAGGGCCGGCTTGTTCCTTTCAAAAGAACACCACGAGTGACCTACTTTGGAAAGGTATGCCCTACCTTCTGAAAGTTCATCAGTGTCCAAAACATCATCACCTGCTGGGGGCACTAGCACTACTGGAATATTTGAGACACAAACCATAATATGATCCTCAGACTTATTCTGGGCATCTTATTCATGGAGACACACCAATGGCCTGATTTGATTTAGATGACCCTACAATGAAACCAATGCCATGATTTGATTTATATGACCCTGCAAGGAAAACAGACTCTCTGCAAAGAATTCATCCACCTGGGAATAGTTTTCAACCATTATTAACCAGCAGAGGGTCAAACTTAGTTGCTATGGTATATAAACTCATCTGTTATAAGTGGTGCTTTGGGCTTATTTTCCTTCCTATTCTGACTTTAATTTACACATTCATTTAAATGCTCTATGGACAACCTTTAATTCAGATATCTATCTAAGTAAAATAAACATCTGTATCAAAAGTCCTCACTGTAGAAATTCTCTGAGGTTCCTTCAAGTCTTGTGTTTGCATTTCTCACTGTTTCTATTGTTTCCTTGTTGTTTTTATTTTTTCATTAGGTAGAAATAATAGTTATTGTTCTGGTACTCCGCAGGAGACCAGAACACCCCACAATGCCCATCAGTTTGTTAAACAGCTTGTTGATGCTGTTGTTAAAGGTTGTGAGAACTACCATGAAGAATGAGCTAGAGGCCGCCCGGACAAAACTTAGTCCACGTGATTTGTACCGCATGCCCAACCTGCGCAAGCGGATCTGTCTGATGTCCCTGGTGAGGTAGGCGTCACACAGTAAACTACGGAAACAGTGTGGATATGAATTTTCTCATTGACAAATTTGGAGATAAAAGATAAGGAATTTCTATAGCTGGAGGTAGCTGAAAACTTTAAATACAGTAACACAGAACTCATTATTCTGTAGGGAGTGTTTGTTAAATCATCCTGGCAGGTTCATCACCAGAGACTGATGCTGAGACCTGTAATCCTGGTACATATTTGGACTTTGAATTTGTCAATTTGTCTGTTTCCATTTCAGAAGAGATAAAATTTCAAATATAAACTACTTTTTAAAAATTGAGCTTTTAAAATTTCATACAACACTTCCCACTCAAATCCAGACCCCCTACCCCATCCATGCCTCCCCTCATGCCCCCACCGAACCCTGTGCACTCTGCCATACATACTGGGTCCTATTCATTCAGGTGTTTGTACCCAAATGTCCTTCACTGCAAATGTGTCCACTGGAGTTTAGTCAGCCCATCCAGTGGTCCTATGTAAGTCATATTCTCCCTCACCAAGCAGCAATCAGTCTCAAATAGTTCTCAACCTAGTGTTGGCCCACCATCTATTTCTCACCCCCTCTTTGGCCCCTTGTTTAACTGAGCTGACATGGGTCCTGTGCTTGATGCCACCACTGCCACAAGCTCACATGAGCAAGCCTCCAGTGGCCTGGAAGCTTCCACCTCCCTGTGTTCATGAACCAGCCCTGGCCCTTACTACCTTTCCCGTCTCCTTTTCCGCAATGGTCCTTGAGCCCCAGATGGGTAAGGTTCCATATAGGAGTCCCATCAAATATAAACTACTTAAATATGTTCATCCCAATGAATATACACATAAAACATTATAATCTTCACTCAGATCAAGATACAGGAAAAACTCCAAAACCCTGGATGGGTCCGTCATATACTCCAGGAATCCCTTTCTGCTTTAAAATTCAACAGTAATAATGTGTTCCATCATCATACAATGATTTTATAAAATTAACGTCTACTAGTAAATATTCCAAAACACTGATATGCATTTATATTTTAACAACTAAAATAGACTTCAGTCAAATCATACTGTTATCAGTTGGATTTAGCTGTAAGCATCATGACATGATTTTCTTCTTTGTCCCTACAGATTTGTAATGTGGCTTTCAATTACTGGACTGATGGTCCACCTACAGCACCTGAGCAACAATATTTTCCTATTGCAGTGTCTCTTTGGTATAGTGAGCATTCCAGCCAATGTTGCTGGAAATTGTTTGCTGAATTACATGGACCGTAGAATAGGTCAACTGCTTCTCATGTTCCTGTATGGATTCTCCATTCTGGCCACCTTATTTATACCTCAAGGTAAGGAGCGATTACAGGGTGTGCAAAAAAAATTTTCATTCCTTTCATCTAGGACTTTTTAGGCTCTACTTAGGATAAATCAGAAAAAATGCATCTTAAGTATATCCAATCTAGGCATTTGGGGAAAAATTTTCTGTTAAGTTGCAGGGAGAAGACCCAAAATTCAGTACAGTTTGGTTCAAATATATGAATGTCGTCTATTACACTAAAGGACTATCTGGAAGCTGGTGCCATTTATCCCCAAGTTTCTGTGGGTCAGCACTGGATAATTAGCTCATTGATCAGTTACATTTTTTAGAGGAGTCATGTAGGGTTTAAGTTTTATAATTCTGTCTACAGATTACCAAAACATGCTGTCACTTCCTCTATCCAGTTGTCTTATAACTGCTTCCATGACAATTTGGATTTAGCTATAAGCTTCATGATATGGCTTTCCTGAACTATAAATATTCATTACTCTTATATCAGGTCATCATGAACACTACCCTGTTTCGGGGAGTTACTTTAAGAAAATAAGCTTTATTCATATTAAGTATGGAAGTATGGAGATGTTTGACTGGATTAAGCTTTAAGACTGTTAGAATAGACTTCGTTGAATTAGGGACATAATAAGCAGTAGCAGTACCCAGGTGCTCACCAAGCTTTGCTGAGATGTTTTATAAAATCTCACAATGATGGGCTTCACAACTCTTGAATGTCATCAGTGATGTCAGTTACTTCAAGGCACATGCCACAGTTTGAAGCTTTCATGAGACTTATTTTTTTTTTTTTAAATGAGTATTTTGCCTGAATGTGCGTAAGTGAACCACATGCATGCCTTATACCCTCAGAGGCCAGAGAGGTCACTAGATCCCCTGGAACTAGAGTTAAGGGTGGTTATTAGCCACCTGGGAACCAAACCCAGATCCTCTGGAAGAACAGTAAGTGCTCTTAACCACTGAACTATCTCTCCAGCCTGGAACTTTTTTTTTTTATTGAGCTTTTAAAATTTCATACATTTTCCACTTACATACAGACCCCCCTCCCTGATCCATGCCTCTCCCTATTCCCCCACCAAACCCTATATACTCTGCCATTCATGCTGAGTCCTGTTCTTTCAGGTGTTTATACCTGTGTCCTTCAGTGTAAATGCATCTAGTCTGGAGTCTAGTCAGCCCATCCAGTGGTCGTATGTAAGTCATACTCTCCCTTACCCAGCAGCAATTAGTCTCAAATAGTTCTCAATCTAGTGCTGGCCCATCACCTATTTCTCATCTCCCCTTTTTGTCCTTGTTTCATTGAGCTGATATGGTTCACTGCTGCTGTAGGCTCACATGAGCAAGTCTCAGGTGGCCTGGAAGCCTCCACCTCCTCACATTCATGAACCAGCCCTGGCTCTTACAATCTTTCGGCCTCCTCTTCCAAAGGGTCCTTGAGCCATGGGTGGGTGTCTCCTTATAGGAGTCCTGTCCTGTACTCTAAAGTCTCTTATTCTCCAAAACTTGGCCAATTTTGCCCTTCTGTATGTATCACAATCTGATGTACATGGAAGCCTCACTGGTGAGAGTTGAGGGGTGCATTAGCCCTCTCTCTACTCCTTATTCAACTATGTCCCATGAGCCTTGCTTGTAGACATTCAACTGCAGATGTGTCACCTAGTACTGGGCATCTCCCATGTGTATGTTCTCTATGCCTGACCAGATGTGCAACTCTGCAATAGCCTCCATCTGTTGCAAAAAGAAGTATCTTTGATGAGTGCTGAATGACATGTTTGTCACTCTAAGGGAGGTCTCTTCTATCTGGCATTATGTTCTCTACCAAGCAGCTCCCAGGTATACATATGCATTACTGTTCAGACACTCTATGTGCATTTCTCATAGGGTTTCTAGGGCATCACTTTCCCCTCTAGGTTTCCTGGCCCCCGAGATTCACTCATCTCTAGTCTTTTGTCTCCCATCCAGCCTCCCTCCTCCCTGGTCACAGTGCCCCCATTATCGCCCCTCCCCCCTATGCCACCAACTCTCACCATCCTCCCTTTCCTGACTTTCCTTCCTCCCCCACACCATGGCCACTTGCATCTCTCTCCCCCCTCTCCTCTCTGCCGATTGCTCACATTTTTTCCACCTCCCTCAGGTAACGTCTGTTCCCTACTATCTCTCTTTCAGGTTGTTTCTTTTCCTTTACCTCCATTTATCCTTTGCTTTACCTGGCTCCTGGTGTTACATCAGAATTTATATAGTCGCATATAAGAGACTGGTGCTACAATCCACAAATGAGGGAGAACATATGTAGCTTGCTTTTCTGCATTTTTTGTGTTACTTCACTTACTATAACACTCTCTAGCTCCATCCATTTACCTACAAATTTCATAATTTCATCTTTTCTTACTGCTGAGTAGAACTCCATTGAGTAGATGTACCACATTTTCATTAATCATTCATCAGTTGAGGGACATTTAGCCTGTTTCCATTTCTTAGCTATTGTGAAGAGAGCAGCAACAAACATGGATGCACAGGTATCTCTACAGTACAATGCGTTCTTTGGGTATATGCCAAGGAATGGTGCCACTGGATCACATGGTGGGTTCATTTTTAGTTTTTTGAGGGCTCTCCACACTAATTTCCATAGTGGCTGCATGAGTTTGCGTTCCCATCAGCAGTGAATAAGTGCTGCTCTTTCTCCACATCCTTTCCAGGATTTGGAGTTTTTTGTTCTCTTGATATTGGCCAATCTGATTGGGGTAATATGAAATCTGGAAGTGGTTTTGATTTGCATTTTTCTAATTACTAAGGATGTTGAGCATTTTAAAAAAAATTTATTTTTTGGATTTGTTTTTGATTTATTCATTTACATCAGCAGTGAATAAGTGCTGCTCTTTCTCCACATCCTTTCCAGGATTTGGAGTTTTTTGTTCTCTTGATATTGGCCAATCTGATTGGGGTAATATGAAATCTGGAAGTGGTTTTGATTTGCATTTTTCTAATTACTAAGGATGTTGAGCATTTTAAAAAAAATTTATTTTTTGGATTTGTTTTTGATTTATTCATTTATTTTTATTTGTTGATTTGTGTGTGTGTGTGTTGAGAACTTAACTCAGATCTTCTGCAAGGTGTGTGTGTGTGTGTGTGTGTGTGTGTGTGTGTATCACACAGAACATCCTGGCAATTTTATTCAACTATACACCCACTTTCCAGATAGCACCCTCCCATAGCCTCCCTCCCCCCACTAGAGCCCTTATACTCTGATATCCCTGCTACTGTCTGCTGTGTTGTCGGCACCCCCAGCCATTCCCCACTACTTGTCCATCTGGTGAATCTAGTCAGCCTATCTAGAGGTCTTTGTTTTAGGAAGGTCAGCTGCTCCTCATCTAGCAGCAATCAGTTGTCAATATTCCTTTAGAAAAGATTGGGGTCTGCTGTTCATTTTCCCTGTTCTATGCTGGGTTACTATCTGGGAGTCCGTTGGGCCACCCTGGCCAACAACACAAAAGAAGGTATCTCCTATCTGGCATTGTTGCTTGTTATGTAGCCTTTAGCTGTGCATATGGACTCTTAAAAAATTATATTTTCTCCTTCAATCTTTGGCTATACCTTCCTTTTGGGTGTTTAAGGCCATACAGTTGGCCCAGATAAACCAATTTATTTTTACCCATAAAGTCGTTTGAGGATCTGTTCCTCAGGGGTCACATGGGCTTGGGAGGAGCCCCTGGTTACTTTCTTTTACCAGTTCCACCTATGTGAAGATAGGTCAAAGGTCCCGCTCGACCATGGTTCACTTTGCTTGAAAGAATGGAGGAAATGATTCATCTGTGTTGACCCTCCTCTTTGTAGACTGGACACTGGTTCAAGTCGACCTCGTGGGGTCTCCTCGGCCTCCTTGATCAAGAGGACAGGTGACCCACCACAGTTACAGGACGTTTTGAGAGATGCTCATAGTCCCCTGGAACTAGTCGACCTAGGAGGGCAAGGAGCAAAAACTGTCTTTCATGTCCCTCTGACCAAATTAGTATAGGCCTCAAAGTGTGGCTGTTCAACATCCAAGAAGGTTAGTTCCACCATTTGGTACTTTTAATTACTGTGTGCCATGTAGATAAATCTTGGGAAAAGGCAAATTGTTCTCAGATAAACCTTACCTAGACATATATTTCTTGATCTGCTATGTATAATTTGTCAGTAGGTTGTTAGAGTAATATGGTTCCCTCTGGTTTTTAAAACTAGCTAAACATTATTTATCTTTCACATTGTCTCACCCCTCCATTATGGTTTTCCCACTTAAGGTGCCCCCATTTCCCACCTTTCTCCCTTAATAATACCCTCCGCCTACAGTCCTAACTCTCTTGAGCTCCTTCTTTCTCTTTATCCCCTAGGTTCCTTGTATTCTCTTCCCTCCCCCCGCCCATAAACTAACCCAATTTTTATCCAGATCTCCCTTATTAAGGCCTGTTTCCTCCTGTTCTTCTCTTTTCCTTTACCTCCCTGTTTCCTTTCCATTACCTTGGTTCCTGTAGTTATGTCTGGATACATACTCACTTATCAGGGTTTGGTTCTAGGATCCACATATGAGGGAGAACATATGTTGATTTTTTTTCTGAGTCTGTGTTACTTCACTTAGTATAACAGTTTCTAGTTCCATCCATTTACCTGAAAATTTCATGATTTCATCTTTCTTTGCTGCTGAGTAAAACTCCATCGTATAAATGAACCACATTTTCATTATCCACTCATCAATTGAGGGACACTTAGGTTGCTTCCATCTCTTAGCTATTGTGAAAAGAGCAGCAACAAACATGGATGTACAAGTGTCTCTGCAACAGGATGAGTTCTTCGAGTACATGCTAAGGAGTGGTGTAACTGGGTCAAATGGTAGGTTCATTTGCAGTTTTTGAAAAGTTCTCCACACTGCTTTCCATAGAGATTGAACATTTTTGCAGCCCCACCAGCAGTGGATGAGTGTTCCCCTTTCCCCACATCCTCTCCAACATTTGGTATCATTTGTTCTCTTGATCTTAGCCAGTCAACTGG